TTAAGCTTAAAGAAAATTACCACTTTGCTCAACCTGTGTGACCTTGCACAACAAAGAGATTAAGAGAAGTCCCAGGAGGGAAGGTCATGCTGAAACCCAGTAACTTCCTACTTTGAGGCTGAGCCACTGTCACCATGATCACATGCTGCTGTATTGTTTTGCCAGTGAAATGGCCTGTAACCATGCAGCAGTAACAGCTTTGCCCCTGCCAAGCCTCTGCGTGGTAATCCTCTCAGTGTAGGATCATACAGAATACCTGCTGTGTATCAAGGGTGTTGTGTTAATCCATCCAAGTTTTGAAAACTTCCCTGTACTAGATCTGTTTGCTTCAATTTCTTTTTTTCTTATAATTTTCCCACATGACATCCATCAGAGGCACTCGGACAGATTTGAGATTGCGCTTCTTTCCACACCTTTTATCATCCATCTGTGCAATAAGTACAAATGTGTTCGCAGGTCGTGTTCACACACAGGTTGTGATTCATGAGCTTGTTTTTGGTCCTCACACATGCTCACACCAGTGCACAAGAAAACTGCTGTGATGATCGTAGCACAGTCTCTTTATCATTTCACCACATGAATTAATGAAAACAACAGTTGGTGGAAGACGCAGCATATGTGAAAGTCTTTTGTGCATTATGGGCTAGGTTGGTATTAAGGTATACAAGTGTTGCTGGTTAGAGTTTTTGGGTAGACTGGTTACTACTTGAGTTCTTTAATTTAATTAATCAGTTATTCTTAATTCAAAACTCAAAATTCAAACTAGCTGTGACAGTTGCTTTTTCTCTAATGTTAGTTTGTTTCTAATCAGTTGTTCAGAACTTGGTGAAACTTCATGACTATGGCTCCAACCAGCACCCATATCAAGGGCATTTATTGGCTTCATTATTGTAAAGTGGGAAGAAAAAAGTAGCAACATGACAATCTATCTTTTAAACAGTTTATGGTATTGCACAACAGCTTCTACCACAAGAGCCACTGGTTCTCTCTTTTTGTAACACGTAGCCAAGTCATTTGCCATTACTCTGTTTATGTATTAATGAATCCAGGTGGATGCAGAGAGCATTTGTCTTCCACTGAGTAAACACATTGTGTCCGCAGATCCTTTCTGAGGTGTTAAAAACACACTGTTGGAATGATGGATGTCGGGCTTTGATCAGACTCATCATCAGTCTTTGTTGATTCAGTGCAGCATGTTCACAGATGATATGTGCCCGCATCACAATTGCTCGTCGAGACGGTGAAAGAATGGTAAAATACCTTTTGTTTGGGTAATTATCGACTTCTGCTCTAAAATACAAGTCTAATGGTGGCTAATTATGTAAATGTCTGCACAGGATATTCTCTGAAGCACTGAAGCATCTCACTCATCTTCGAAGCAGGGACATTCCCGGTGGACCGTCGCTACAATAACACTGAATAATTTAATAAGCAAACACACACCGCAGATGTGTCTTGCTTGTTAGCTAATAAAATCACATCTTATTAAAGACAGTGCTGGTTATTTCACCTTGTGTGTGTAATGGGCTGATGGCTGGTAGAGTCTAAGGGAGAGCCACCAGCCCTTTACACGGCCGTGGCACTGAGCTCCATGTCCCCAGGCTGTACAAGCATGACTTGTTTTACATTAGCCATAAGACAGATGGGAGGACACCCTCCAGTATGGTGATTACACCAAGCAGATGAAGCTTATTGGGATGATGTGTTTGATATACTGTTGAAGAGAGAGGCATTTGTCAAAAGAAGGGAGAGACGAATAAAACAAACGTGCTGCCTTACGGCTGTATCATCCGAAGTGATTGCATGGTTACATTTCACAAGAAAATTGCAGGACACTGCATATATTTACTATGATAAATTAACTTTCTAACAATTACTATGAATTTACATGAAATCCATGTCCAGCTATTTATCATGATAGAAGATAGAAGAGAAAAACTCTATGTAAGTCCCTCCTCAGTTTCATGAGTAATGTATCAATGCATTGTCCGTGGTTGATTTTAGAGCCAGTGAGTTTTATGATGTCACCTTTATACCTGAGAAATCATGTCACAAGTCTCTAAATGTCAAGATAAGGACATAGACTTGCAGGTTACCCATGAAAAAAACATTAATGATTAATGTGTCCAAACATTTTTTTACAAATTTTACCCTTTGAACCGGACTGACACAGTTTTCTTCAGCACCTGCATCCGCTCTTCTCAGAGACATTAACTAAAGGGTAATTACTCCATCAATTTCTGCTAGAACCCATATATTCAGGCACATGCAAAAATACAATGGAATACTGAAGGAGTAATAACTGCCTCATGTATGTGTAGGAGTGACAGTGGACTCTGATGAGAATGACCACCTCATTGTAGGGTGGCCACCAGTGCAGGGCTGACAGTCAGAGGTACACGGCTTTGAGAAGTTATCACCAGACTCTTCACTTTCTCCTATACAGGGAGTAAGGTGGTGCTTTGACAGATACTAGAAAGCGAATTCATGGTGATCTGAAAGTCACTTTGTTTACCCTGTGACGTAGCTGAGCTAGCAGCTCTACTAAAGACGCTTTCAGACCTGCCCTGAACTCAGCAGCTCTTCTGTGCTTTCTCTGGTGAAGGTGCATGAGTAAAAGCTAATGTCAGAGTGAGACACTCCTCAGTCTCTGCCTGGCCCCCTCGTATAAAGTCCTTAGCAATCCTGATGTGTGAACATAGCAGGGGATCCCCGCTGGATTCACATCAAGGGTGTGTGTGTGTGCGCTTGGTGACACTTCTAACGTGTGACAGATGCAAAAATGTGAAAGAAAAAAGAAAAAATATCTCCCGATGAAAAAGGGGTGACACAAATGTAGAGGACATCGATGAAGAGAGTTTGTGGTGATGTGGTGTCTGTGTGTGGAAATCACGTGATGTCAAATGCGGAGTTCAAACGTCACTTCCTGCCTCTGTCTGCTGCTCAAGGCTGCTCCACCTCTCACCTCAATACTGAGGAGGATTTGATGCCTTTGTCAAAGTGTCTGTGCAGAGAACCTCCTGTTGCGTTGTGCATGTGTGAAGAATAAAGTCCGGATTTTATCTGCAGGTCATGTCTGAATAAGGCTTAAAAAAGGTTGTCCTGTGTGTGTGTGTGTGTGTGTGTGTGTGTGGACTGAGTTCTTAGATCCAAGCAGACAAACGTGAGCTAATTCTTTATTTAAGCATTGTTATGCTTCACAGCTTTACTGTTCTGGCTTAGTCTCAGCACTCTCATTAGTGTTGTTTTCCAGCACAGCCCCTGAAGTTTATACTCTCAACGTTTTCACTTGGAGCTAATGATGTTTTTGTTTTAATTCATTTCTGCTCAACCTCAAAATAATGCAACTTACGTTTGTCTATATATCTTTGTTACGTAATATGTGCATTGTCAGTTGCTTTATAACAACAATATTTTCTTGCTTAACACATCTCTTCATGGTCTCTGCCCCTGCAAAGAGCAACATTTCACACCACCACCCAGTGGTAGAGAAGGAATGAAATAATAATGCGATAATGTTCCTGAGCT